TGGCAGAGCATAGCAGGCTGCTGAGCAATGACACAGCTACATGCAGGGTCCAAGCGTGCCATAGACTAGAGACCATTCTCAAAGCTTCTCCTTATATACAGGAAGCAGACCACATACCCAAAGGCAGCTACTCAGCTGCTCCCAGTAGATTCCACCATGGAGTTGATTACCAGTCTCATCCAGCTGCCCAGTCACTCAACCTGGCCTAGCCAAATTGACACACAAACATAACCACTACACCTGTCCAATTAATAAAGTTCCCCTGGCCTTTTTTTTCCTCTGGAGAGATCAGAAATTAATTAAACAATCATCAGGGGTAGAAAGGGGCAAAAAGAATAAGCATGGATTCTTGCCTAACTCTCATTTACAAATTTGTGTCTTACAGGCTTATTTCCACCTGGGTATCAATGAAAAGTTAGGACTCTCCGGAAGGCCAGATAGGCCCATTGGCTGCCTTGGAACATCAAAGGTGCAGCATTACTCAGATTATAATACCTTTGCTCTGCATCCACTCTCATATTTCATTATATACTTGGGTTAATTATCTAAATTATTACTTTCTACAAGTAAATCTTATTATTTGTTTTGCATCATATCCCAGAAGTCTTCTAGAAATAAATAAACATCTCGCTGCTATATTATTTCTGATTATGGCAATATTTACTCAAGCACAAGCTTTTTCTGTCATATTAGAGGTGGACTACTTTGAATTAATCAGCTTATTGATTGAATCAAGAAACTTTTAAATTTCTTAATATTATGTGGATTTCACAAGCTATTTGCTTATTCAGAACATCAACTTTAATTTTTATTAGGACTTATGGTATTTCACCTTTGCTTTTGGAATGTTTCATATATTCTTTTAAAAAATTATCCCTTGCAGATTTATCGTATTCTGGGGAAGACTGTGGTTTGTTACCCCATCATCTTTGACCTCAGTGATTTCTACATGTCTCAAGATGTTTTACTGCTGATAGATGACATAAAGGTAGCTTCTAAACACTTTTTATATTGTTATGGGATGACTTTGTGTCCACTGATTTTATCATGTTACTAATTTGCCTGCTCTTGGATGTCTATGCAAAATATGAACATAAAACAACACCTGCATAGCTTTGGAGAGTCAAATTACTTGCAGTTTCACAATAATAGATGGAATGTGTCTTATGTAAAGTTGTATGACTTTTCTTGTTACTCTTCCCTACAAATAGAATGAGAACTTATAGCTTATAAAGCAAAGGAAGGACAATTTCAAAATCACATTCATACAGCAGTAATAGTTTATCTCCATTTGAACAAAAGTTGCATTAGCAAAGTAATTTCAGTTATTAAGAATGTCCATTAATGGTACAACCATTGTGGAAAGCAGTATGGCGATTCCTTCAAAAGTTGGAA